TGCCTGGGATGCCGGGCAGATAGTAACAATGGGATTTCGGCGGAAGTGATCTCCGATCACTCCCGCCGCCCGTTTTCCGTTAGGACGATCAGGACCGTACTTGGTCGGCAACGCAAAAATGCCGAGGACGGTCCTGAACTGTCCTGCGTCCTGAAGGGGTTAAGTTATTATTATTATTATTATTATTATTGTAGTAGTATGGTTATCATTTATATATATATATATATATATATTATAATTATTTAATAAAAGCTGTGGACAATTTGACCCATATACCCTAGTGTCAGTGTTTTTATTGGGGAAGGTATGTGGGGGTTTTTTGTCCAAGGTTCCGACTGCCTATTTGACGACTATACACCGGTCAAGACCTGCAAGAAACCTGTTACTGCTAAATTTTCTTTTCTTTTTTACTCCCTAATTCACAGATTTAAGCTGAACTCTAATTTACTTCTCTCAAAGGTAAAACCTTTTCTTCAGTGCATAGAGTTCAAATCCCAGCTTCTATGAAAAATAATACTCCTGTTTCAAGGTACAAACAACGGAAAAGAAGACCAATTCAGTCTGCTTGTTGCAAAGCTGCAGTGAATGTACACTTTCCAAAGAATCAAACTCTGGTCTCAGAATCTTTGCCTTTGCTATCTTTAGTGAAAGGGACTTTCACAGCATTAACCATGATACCAAGTTCAGAAATTATTCCTGACTCTAAAGAATTGTCTATATTGGCAGCATTAGAAGTGGAATCTTGATTTAGGGGAATCTGCTCTACTGTCTGCACAAGCCAAGGACATGTTGAAGCCCCTGCTGTGTGAATCTAAGGATATTCCTATCCCTGAAACAAAGCCACAGTTCATTTCCTATGGGACTGCCCAGTTGATACCTGAAGCTGAAACTCTACCCAAGTACCCAAGACGGCTTCATCTTTTAAAGATGTAGTCTATGCTACAACCAGCTGAAAGGATACCTGTGCATAATTATGTTCCTTCTCTTGAGGTTGTGATGGTGCACAGTGTGGTGTTCCTTTTGAGATGGCAAACTCCCATGAGCAATCTTATCTGATACTTGAAATTACTCCTGGTTCATTGGCATTGTTAGCAACCCTGTAAACATAGCCCTTAATTATGTATTGTTCTGTCGATCCTTGCCTTCCTGATATTGGAGGTCTGCTTATTTCCAAGCTCCTAGTTCCTGGGATGCGCTGAAGCTGCATCAGGGTCCTGGTAGGGGGCCGCACAAACGCTGGTGCCCAGACCCTGCTAGTCCACTTCCACACTGTGACTCCCATAATTAACATCAGGCATACTGGGTCCCGGTCGACCGACCGTCGCCCAGACAGTGTCTGGGTCCCGGTCACCGGAACACCACCCTGACACAACTCAAGAAACTCTGAATGTAAAGGTGGTGGTGTAGGGTTTCTCCTTTCCCCTCACTGCTCCTTTAACCCTCTACCCACCCCCCCTTCTCTCTCTTTCCCATCATTTGAAATACATTCAATTCGCCTTTTCAAACCCTTCTCTGCTAACATTGCCGCTATTTATCGTCCCCCTGGTTCCCCTCTCCTCTTCCTTGACCACTTTGCTGCCTCGCTACCCTATTTCCTCTATTCTAATATTCCATCCCTAATTCTCGGGACTTCAATATTCCCATTAACCCACCTCTGACCTCTGCAGCCTCTAAACTACTCTCAATTACTTCCTCCCTTGGGCTAACACAGTGGGCTAATTCTCCCACCCATGTAGCTGGAAATACCCTTGACCCACTCTTCTCTTATGCATGTACAGTTCTAATATCTGCAACACTCCATTTCCTTTCTCTGATCACCACCTCTTATCATTTGTTCTTGTGTACCCCTTCACCCAACAACTTCAGCCTAACCCCCCTCAACTCAGGAGGAACCTTAATTCTCTTGATCTCCAGCAGCTGTCAGCTGATATTGATTCACAACTGCTATCCATCTCTTCCCTCTCCTGTCCTTCATTGGCCATCTCCACATATAACACGACCCTCACCTCTGCCTTGAACACTGCAGCACTGCTCCAAACAAGCACCTCAAGGAGGACACGCCCCCAACCATGGCATACTAAATCAACACGCCTCCTGCAAAGATGCTCCAGTTGTGCTAAACGCTCCTGGAGGAAGTCTTGCTCCCAGTCAGACTTTCTCCATTATAGATTCATATTGTGTTCATACAGCGCAGCCCTTGCCCTCGCCAAACAGTCCTACTTTTCCTCTCTCATTAGTTCATGCTCCCACAATCTGAGGCATCTCTTTGACACCTTTAATTCTCTTCTTCGCCCTGCCGTGGCCACCCCCAAACTAACCTTACTGCTGTTAGCTTTGCATGTTACTTTATCGACAAGATCAAACAGCTAAAGAAAGATTTCTCCCCTCCTTACCGTTCTCTTTCTCATCCACACATATATTATGCCTTTCCTACCCTTCAGACATTCCCCCGGCTACTGACCAAGAGGTAGCTGCTCTTCTCCTTTCCTCTCACCCCACCACTTGCCCGGTCGATCCTGTCCCATCTCACCTGATTAGATCTCTCTCCACTTGTCTCGTAACGCACATCTTCAACTGCTCTCTCTTTTCTGGCATTGTCCCTGCTGACCTTAAACATGCCACTGTAGTACCTATCCTGAAAAAAACATCTCTTGACCCGTCCTCCCCCTCTAACTATTGTCCTATATCCCTGCTCCCTTTTTCCTCAAAGCTTCTGGAAAGACTTGTCTTTACCTGTGTATCGCATTTCCTCAATTCCAACTCTCTTCTTGACCCTCTTCAATCTGGCTTCCGCCACTCTACTGAGACTGCATTTATCAAAGTTACTAACGACCTAATCACAGCTAAATCCGAAGGCCACTACTCCATACTAATTCTTCTTGACCTCTCTGCTGCCTTTGACATAGTTGATCATGCTCTCCTTCTTCAAACACTTGGTCTCTGTCACTATGTCCTCTCTTGGTTTTCCTCTTATCTCTTCCAACACTCATTCAGTGTCTCCTTTTCTAATGACACCTCCTCCCCTCGTCCTGCCTCGGTTGGAGTCCCCCAAGGCTCTGTACTTGGTCCACTTCTATTTTCTCTTTATACTGCCTCTCTTGGCAAACTTATTACCTCTTTTTGTTTCCACTACCACCTGTACGCTGATGACACCTAGATATATCTCTCCTCCCCGGACCTCTCTCCAGCCGTCCTGCAAGGTGTCACTGCTTGCCTTTCTTCCATCTCTGACTGGATGTCCTCCCGCTTTCTGAAACTCAATCTCTCTAAAACTGAGCTCCTTGTCTTTCCTCCTTCTAATACTGATCCTCCTCTTTCGCTCTCCCTTCAAGTTAGTGGTACCCACATAAGTCCATCCTTGCAAGCGTGCTGTCTTGGTGTCATAATTGATTCTGGCCTCACCTTTGAGCCTCACATCCATTATGTTGCCAAATCCTGTAGATTCCATCTTAAAAACAAAGCCCGCATCCGCCCCTTTCGTACGTAAGATGCTACCAAGGAGCTTGTCTATGCTCTAGTAATTTCCTTCTTGTAACCCTCTCCTGATTGGTCTTCCCAAAAGCCGTACTTCACTGCTACAGTCCATAATGAACGCTGCCGCCAGACTGATTTTCCTCTCTAGTCGGTACTCTCACACCTCACCCCTCTGTCAGGCCTTACATTGGCTTCCTGTATGCTATAGGAGTCAATTCAAGGTACTAATTCACACCTATAAAGCACTGAACAACTCTAGCCCCTCTTATATCTCTTCACAGATCCATAGGTATATCCCTTCTCAGTCTCTCCGCTCTGCCAGTGACCACCTCCTGTCCGTTGTTCGCACCCGTACGGCCAACTTAAGCTTGCAGGACTTCTCGCGGGCAGCTCCCTTCCTATGGAATAGCCTGCCTACCGCCATCAGACTCTCTCGTAGTCTTGCATCTTTTAAGAAGTGCCTTAAAACCCATCTCTTTAGGAAAGCTTATGGCCTGCCAGACTAACCTCTACTTTACATACCTGTCTCTTGTGCTCTCCTAAAGGGCAGCAATCTACTCTCTCCTCCAGCTCTGCTTCACTCCCACCCTATTTGATTGATATTTCCTGTCCCATTGTGTTTTACACCCCACCTCCTATAGAATGGAGCCTCGTTTGAGCAGGGTCCTCTCTAACCTATTGTTCCTGTAAGTTTTTTTTTTGTAATTGTCCTATTTATAGTTAAATCCCCCCTCTCATAATATTGTAAAGCGCTACGGAATCTGTTGGCGCTTTATAAATGGAAATAATAATAAATAATAATGATGGATGTATCCACCACCTCTGTGCAACTTGTCTCGGAGGTTATGCCTCTCCTTTTAGATGTTGAAACATTTCTTATTTCTGAAGATGTTATCTTGCCTGTCCTTGAATAACCAAAAAGGTCTCTGTGCTACTCATCCCTTATGTAATATTTGTCCCTTCTACTTGCGAAACCTTGCCCGTTCCTGAATATGTTGCACTCCGTATTCTTGTTTTCCTTATTCTACTGTGGTATGAAGAATTTCTATCTGTTCTACCTAAAGCAACACTTCATACAGATTAGGAACAGCGCACACATAAAAATGCAATTTTAGGCTACTTAAATTCCCCTATCTCAGGAAATAAATGAGTATTCAGTTTCACCATATGACCATATTGTGTTAAGCCCACCATTTCTTCACAGCATTACAATAGCGGTGGGTCCTAAACATATTTCAACATGGGAGACAAATCAAATAGTGCTAAACGAGCTAAAGTGTATTTAAATAATCTGTTGTCATGTACATCTCTAGGTGGATGAAAGCAGGGTTGCCCGTGGGGGGGGGACGGCGCGCGGGCCGGGCCGCGGCTTCTCTGCATCGCGGGAGCACAAGGCAAGACACCCCCACCCATTCCCTACCCCTTGCACCCTTATTCCTTCCCCCCCCTTCTCTTCTCTGACCTACTCTTCTTATCTCTTTCATCTTTAATCCTGACACCCACACTACACATAGATAGACGGACGTATGCCCAAGACATCGCACGCCTCACGACAAAAACGACGACATCTCCGAATGGCACATCAGACATCAGACGTGACAACACACACTGAGATTGCACTCACACCCTACGCTAACACAAAACATACTCAGGAAGAAACATCAGTCACCGAGACCACGTAAAGACCTCGCCCAATAAAATCAGCTAAACGAAACCCCGCTAACGCTACTGCCAGAGATTGCTCATCAATAGCGACACGGATATGTGAAGTTTGACAGTAAACAACGAAAGGAAGGGAAACCACTCCCCTAGCGGTGCTGTAACTAGCCTCATTAATGGACACTAACCTACCCGTCAACGAATAATACACCACAAAGTCTACACCAGATATGCGACAACCACAACAACGAATCTTGAGACGATAGAAATGACCTAAACATACTAATATACACGCTTGTGCTACTCACAAGAATAGTGATGTCGCAAACACAAAATTTTCGGTTCGCAAACCGCGAACGCGAACTTCCGCAAATGTTCGCGAACCTTGCGAACCGGGCGAACCGCCATAGACTTCAATAGGCAGGCGAATTTTAAAACCCACAGGGACTCTTTCTGGTTGAAGGGGGGGGCGGAGGAGACCTACTCTCCTCCCCCCCGGCCCCCCCCCCTGGGCGGCGGGTGGGGGCCATAAAGATAATGAGGGGGGACCTACTGACCTCCCCCTCTCCGGCCCCCACGCCATAATGATAATGAGGGGGGACCAACTGTGCGGTGGGTGGGGGACCTAAAAATAACAATAAGGGGGGGACCTACTGTTCCCCCCGGCCCCCACCCCTGAGCGGTGGGTGGGGGCCCTAGAATTCACAATAAGGGGGGGACCTATTGTCCCCCTCGGCCCCCACCCCTGAGCGGTGGGTGGGGGCCCTAAAAATAACAATAAGGGGGGGACTTACTGTCCCCCCCCGGCCCCCACCCCTGAGCAGTGGGTGGGGGCCCTAAAAATAACAATAAGGGGGGACCTATTGTCCCCCCCGGCCTCCACCCCTGAGCGGTGGGTGGGGGCCCTAATAACAATAAGGGGGGGACCTATTGTCCCTCCGGCCCCCACCCCTGAGCGGTGGGTGGGGGCCCTAAAAATAACAATAAGGGGGGGACCTATTGTCCCCCCCCAGGCCCCCACCCCTGAGCGGTGGGTGGGATCCCTAAATACAAAGGGGGGGGACCATAGTCACCCCTCCCCCCCTCAAAAAAAAATGATCTCCCTACCTACCCCCCTCACCCTAAAAATAATGAGGGGGGGGACCTTTATCTAAAAAGAACCGAAAATTGAACTTTCCCACGCTGTGTAAAATGACACAGAGCACTGTGATTGGATGGATTTCAAGCCATCCAATCACAGTGCTCTGTGTCATTTTACACAGCGTGGGAAAGTTCTTTTGAATTTTCCCACGCTGTGTAAAATGACAAAGAGCACTCTGATTAGCTTAAACCAGCCAATCAGAGTGTTCTTAGCCTAATTACAGGGCATGGCAAGGCTTTATAAACCTTCCCCCGCCCTGCAGAGCTCAGTCTGCGCGGAGCCCTCCATGGGTGAAGATGGATTATTTTTTTGTGCGCTCGTTTTTTTTTTTTTGTATTTTTTTTTTTATTGCGTCGGTTCTTATGGCTTTTTATTTGGCCTTTTTTGGGGCTGAAAAAAGAAGATCGCAGAAGAAAGAAACATCAAATGGCAAGTTATTTTTATCTAATTTTTTTTTTTACAGCTTTTTAGTTAAAGGTCCCCCCCTCATTATTTTTAGGGTGAGGGGGGTAGGTAGGGAGATCATTTTTTTTTGAGGGGGGGAGGGGTGACTAGGGTCCCCCCCTTTGTATTTAGGGCCCACACCCACTGCTCAGGGGTGGGGGCCGGGGGGGACAATAGGTCCCCCCCTTATTGTTGATTTTAGGGTCCCCACCCATCGCTCAGGGGTGGGGGCCAGGGGGGACAATAGGTCCCCCTTATTGTTATTAGGGCCCCCACCCACCCCCTTATTGTTAATTTAGGGCCCCCACCCACCGCTCAGGGGTGGGGGCCGGGGGGGACTGTAGGTCCCCCCCTTATTGTTAATTTTAGGGCCCCCACCCACCGCTCAGGGGTGGGGGCTGGGGGGGACAGTAGGTCCCCCCTTATTGTTATTTTTAGGGCCCCCACCCACCGCTCAGGGGTGGGAGTTGGGGGGAGGACAATAGGTCCCACCCTATTAGTATTTAGGGACCCCACCGGGGGGGGACCCTTTTTTTTTTTTTTTAACAGTGAGCAGCCACAGACTGCTCCGGGTTTAATAGACATGCCCCTACTCGCGGTATTGCGAGTAGGGGCACAATTTACTAATACTAAGTATTTTTTACTTAGTATTAGTAAATTAATAGGGGGCGGACCGAACATCGCATATGTTCGCCGTCCGTGGCGAACGCGAACACGCGATGTTCGCCAGGAACTATTCGCCAGCGAACCGTTCGGGACATCACTACACAAGAATTGTAAAATGTTATATATTTGTAACTCAATATAGGACCTGCGTGTCCACAAGGCTGTAGCTACGTCCACTCTCTACTGCTCATTCTCTCTACAAAATAAAAGATTTAAAAAAATAATCTGTCGTAAGAGCATTGTGAATATATATATATATATATATATATATCTATAAATATATTGCAAAATTAATCTGATTAAAAAAACACAATTCAAAAAATACAGTGTCAAAACTAAACAATTAATGTGATAGTGCTTTTATGTACATACCCACAGTGCATATCATATGTCTGCTCTATACCAAATGAAAATTAGATTCAAAGTGGCATTACTATCCAACACCTCCTCAAATTTATACTAGGGGATAAAGCAACATTGCAACACTTGTTTTTGCCTTGATTTGTGTGTATGCTGGTTTCCTTGCATTCTGGGTTCCAATCTATAGATGTTGCTGCTCTGGTCAGCACCCTTTCTCGACCAGACCCATGGCAATTAGTGTGTGTGTGTTTCTGTGTGTGCATTTATGTGTGTAGCAGTGTGTGTGCATACAAACACACCCCAGCATTTGTGCAGCACTGCAGAACTTGTTGATGCTATATAAATAATAATTTAAATACCAAAACTACACACAAACACATGCAATCGAATGCCAAGTCTACATAAAACACAAACATTACACAGAATACGCCCTTGTTTTCAAATAACAACAGTACATACAAACACAACTGCATTCTAAAGCCAACACTACACGCAAATACACCTCTACATGCAAAAACACATACTCTATGCCCCCACAATTATTGCCCAGGGCCCTCTCTACCTTGGTCCTGTCACTGTTTTGAATACAGCAGATCATTTGTACTGCATCCTAGTCATTTACTTACAACATTTTTAACTGATGTGTCTGCTTGATTTCCATTGTACTCATTTAAGACCAGTTCACCTCATTATTGGTGAGACTATCAGCAAGCCAAATAAGCTAATAAAAATATTGAGCTAGTTCAGAGACTCCCCCTTGTGGCCTTTTATATACAATGGCAAAAATTCTATACAGGAGAAAAAGCACATTTGAATTCATAATTGATGAACTGTGTTAATTAGAGTTGAGCGAACCCAAACCGCAAAGTTTGGGTTCGTACCGAACATTACGGTTTTTGGACCCCAGACCCAAACACGGACATTTCAGTTTTGCAGGGCAACCAATCAACAAGCGTTTGACTTGTGTGCCCTTAGAAGCCATCACAGCCATGCCTACTATATATAAGCTGGAGTCATGTAGCGCTGCATGTCACATGAGCTCTTTTTAGTGTAGGGACAGGATGCTGAAGCTGTGAGGGACAGCTTAGGAAAGAATTCTGGTGTTGAATCTGCAAACTACAGTGATTATTCAAACTATAGCAATTATTCAAGCTACAGCGATTATTCTAGTGGGTGCTATACTACATTTTTGTACCCTGCCCTGAGCCCAATGCCACAGAAAGTGCAGTGCACTTGCAACTGCATGTGTGCCAGGCACATGACTTTATTCCTGTTCTGGTAGCTCAGTGGGCAACATCTAGGCATTTTTAAATACTGCAATTTTTGGGGTGCTAAATAGTACATTTGTGTACTGCATTTCTTGGATTCTAATAAACCCTTAAATACTACTGTTACATTGTTGGTTTAAAAAATCACACTTTTTTTGTGCTAAATAGTACATTTGCGTCCTGCGGTGCATTTCATATCTGAGAGTCAAATAGAACCGTCAAATACTGTGCTTACAGCGCACTTTGAAAAATTCTAATAGTTTTGGGTGCTAAATAGTACATTTGCGTCCTGGGGTGCACTTCTTATCTGAGAGTCAAATAGAACTGTCAAATACTGTGCTTACAGCGCACTTTGAAAAATTCTAATTTTTTGGGTGCTAATGCTAAATAGTACATTTGCGTCCTGCGGTGCACTTCATATCTGAGAGTCAAATAGAGCCGTCAAATACTGTGCTTACAGCGCACTTTGAAAAATTCAAATTGTTTTGGGTGCTAGTGCTAAATAGTACATTTGCGTCCTGCGGTGCACTTCATATCGGAGAGTCAAATAGAACTGTCAAACACTGTGCTTGCAGCGCACTTTTAAAAATTCTAATTGTTTTAGGTGCTAAATAGTACATTTGCGGCCTGCGGTGCACATCATATCTGAGAGTCAAATAGAACCGTCAAATACTGTGGTTACAGCGCAGTTTGACCAATTCAAATTTTTGGGTTGATAAAAAGTAAATTTGGGGTGTGCACTTCATATCTGACAGTCAAATAGAACTGTCAAATACCAATATAACAATATTGTAATTCAGGGGCAATACCCTAATAGAGATGTCGCGAACCGTTCGCGACATCTCTATACCCTAACAACAAGTCAAACTAAGAGGTCAGTTTATAGGGAAAACTGTTGCCTGGGTACAATTCTAAAACAATTCCCATATGTCATTTGCAGAGTTTACATGCTGAAAAACACAGGTGCCAACTGCTGTGGCTTTCTGCAGTGTGCAGACCGGCAAGGAGTGCAGGGTTGAGGAGTGGGTGGAAGATGATGTGGAGGATGATGAGGTCCTAGACCCCACATGGAATCAAGGTCATGCGACTGGCGTGTGCAGTTTGGAGGAAGAGGCGCTGGTCACACCAGGACCCAGACACTATCTGGGCAGCGGTTGGATGACCGGGACCCAGTATGCCTGATGTTGAAGTTAGGAGTCACAGTGTGGAATGGATTAGCAGGGTCTGGTGCAGGGTAACCCCACGCCCCCTGGTGTTGAGCACCAGCGTTTGTCCGGCCACATACCGGGACCCTGATGCAGCTTCAGTAAAAAGAGTACTGGATACCAAAAGCCATCACCAAACTGATCCGCAACTTGAAACAGGATGTGACATTCACTGTAGCGGCTGTGCGCGCTTTTGGCATTCTCACCCTGCTGCTGCTCGCCTGTCTGCGCTGCAGCATAACTTTGGCCTTCCCGCTCACCGCCTCATATGCAACGTGCACATGCTGGAGAGACTGTGCGAGCAGCAGCAGGCGATAGTGGAGTTTCAGCTGCAGCACGCACGGGTCAGTTGCTCTGCACCAGACTTGCCCTCCAATTGATCCTAGTTAAACGATTTCAAGTGGACTCATTACAGTTACAGTGCCTCTAAAGAGTCCTGTATTGTTATTTGTCATCACTACCTCCCCGCGTCGGGAGTGGGTAATTTGCGCGCCTGCTGCCTTCCTTGGATGTGGTAGCCGTTTCTCAGGCTCCCTCTCCAAAAATGAACCCTGATTCCCCATTACCCGTGGTCACCATGGTAGGCCCAGAAAGTCCATCGAAAGTTGATAGGACAGAAATCCGAATGCGTCGTTGCTGTCACGGGGACGTGCGATTTGCCTGAGGTTCTCTAGAGTCACCAAAGTGCCTGTGCAACTATAAAGTCGACAGCTACTCTGCCTAACGGATCTTCACTAATAGGGAGGGGATAGAGGTGGGCCCTGTGCTGGTCCCTTCTCTTCCTGAAAAACTACCCATATATATTAGAGCTGCTGCAGAAAGTGCATGCCATCTGTGCGCGCCTTCAGCATTCTCACCTGTGCGGGAATCCCATGTAATCGAAATACTTCTCTAGCGAAGATATGAGCCAGTTCCTTGGATGTGGGCAACTTGCGAAGAGACACGAAGTGAGCCATTTTGGAGAACCGATCCACTATCATCAGGATCACTGTGTTACCATTTGAAGGGGGTAATTCAACAATAAAATCCATGGACAGGTTAGACCAAGGTCTCTCGGGAACGGGTAACGGATGCAACAGCCCACAAGGAACTCTACGGGAGGATTTCATACAGGCACAAGTAGTACAAGCACTTATATAGTCAGTGACATCCTTTCGTAAGGAATCCCACCAAAAATACCGAGAAACAGCTGACACCGTTTTGGAAATACCAGGATGTCCAGCGGTCTTAGTATCATGATATAATGACATAATATCCCGTCTCTCAGGAACATCAACGAACAGTTTATCATTAGGCCTCTCGCTAGGTGCCATGCTTTGTTTCGCTTGTATGGCCTGCAAGAGGGACGAGGAAATAGACAAAATAGTAGTAGCTATTATCCTGTCTGGGGGAATGACAGGAGTAACATCAATCTCCTGTTTGTCAGTAGTTTCGAACTGTCTGGACAGAGCGTCTGCTTTAGTGTTGCGATCACCTGGCCTATAGGTGATAATAAAATTGAAACGGGACAAAAATAGTGACCACCTAGCCTGCCTGGAAGACAATCTTTTGGCTTCGCTAAGGTAGGATAGGTTCTTGTGATCCGTAAAAATGAGGATAGGATCCTTAGTTCCTTCTAACAAATGTCTCCACTCTTTAAGTGCTAAAATAATAGCAAGGAGTTCGCGATTACCCACATCATAATTTTTCTCTGCTTTGGACATTTGTTTAGAAAAGAAGCCGCATGGATGCAATGGCTTCTCAGGCGACTCTCTTTGGGATAAGACAGCACCTACCCCAATATCCGAAGCATCAACTTCAAGAATATAGGGCAGTGAGGGGACAGGATGCTGTAAAATAGGTGCAGAGGCGAACGTAGTTTTAAGAAATTCAAAAGCCTGAAGTGCCTCGGTAGACCAAACACGAGTATTGCCATCCTTTTTAGTCATACGGGTAATAGGTGCTACAATGGACGAGAAACCTTTGATAAAACGTCTATAATAATTGGAGAACCCAAGAAAATGCTGAATAGCTTTCAGACCTTGCGGTAGAGGCCATTCTATTACAGCAGCTAGCTTCTGGGGATCCATACGAAAACCTTTAGCGGAAATCAAATACCCCAAGAACTGGACTTCGGTTTGGTCAAACAGACATTTTTCTAGCTTGCAATAAAGACCATTAGCAAGAAGGGTCTTCAAAACTGTCGTAACATGTCTGTGATGAGTGTGTATATCTGTAGAATATATTAAAATGTCGTCCAAGTATACGATAACAAATGTGTGAATAAAATCTCTCAAGACATCATTAATAAATTCTTGGAATACTGCTGGGGCATTGCAAAGCCCAAATGGCATAACAGTGTATTCGTAATGACCGGATCTAGTGTTGAATGCAGTCTTCCATTCGTGATTTTCCTTTATACGTATCAAATTGTATGCACTCCTAAGGTCTAATTTAGTGAACACAGTGGCATGTTTCAGCCTGTCAAATAATTCTGTAATCAAAGGTATAGGGTATGCATTTTTGATAGTGATTTTGTTTAGACCCCTATAATCTATACACGGTCTTAAATCACCTTCTTTCTTCGATACAAAGAAGAACCCTGCTCCAGCTGGAGAAGAGGATCTCCTAATAAACCCTTTTTCTAGTGATTCCTTGATGTACTCCTCCATGACACGGTTTTCTTGAACCGATAAGGGGTACACCCTGCCCTTTGGAGGTATAGTGCCAGGCAACAAGTCAATAGCGCAATCATAGGGTCTGTGAGGCGGTAATTTCTCAGCCTCCCTTTTATCGAAAACAGTCTTTAGAGATAAGTACTGAGGGGGTATAACCGTAGACAAAGGAGGACTGGTAGGTACCTCAATAGAATTCAAAGGTGTGACTTCCAACGTACAAGACTCGTGGCAGGCCTTACTCCATGATTTTATTTGCCCTGTCTCCCAGTCAAAAATGGGATTGTGAGCACGTAACCATGGATACCCTAATACTAACTGTGAAGAGGGAGAGGTGATGACCTGGAATCGAATGGTTTCATAGTGTAAAACCCCTGTGTACATGTGTAATGGTACAGTCTCATGAGTAACAACTGGAGAACTTAATGGTCTACCATCTATGGCCTCAACGGCCAAGGGTATCTCCTTCTCTCTGATGGGAATGTTGTTTCTCTTTATAAAGCCAGAGTCTATAAAATTTTCAGCTGCCCCAGAGTCAACCAGAGCATATATGTTGTCAACTATACAAATCTCTCCCATATATAAAGAAACCGGGAGAAGCAAGCGGTTAGGAGGCAATTTAGGAGACTTAGATATCACACCCAAGGCCAGTCCCCTATAAGGTCTTAGGTGCGAGAGTTTTCCGGGAGTAAAGGACATTCCTTTACCATATGGTCTCTCCTACCACAGTATAGGCAGAGTCCCTCCCTTCTCCTATGTAATTTCTCAGTATCAGAGAGTTTGGCAACCCCTAATTGCATAGGTTCCTCCTCAGACACTTTAACACTCTCTGGTATATTAACTCTGGGGTTAATGGGTGTAACAAAACGTCTATTCCTGTTCTTGGTATAGAGCCTGTCACGAATTCTATTATCAATATCAATGAGGTAATCGATAAGGTCCTCTAAGGCAATAGGAAGCTCCTTAGCTGCTACCTCATCCAATATCGTATCTGACAAACCTTCCATAAAGGTAGTAGTTAACCCATTGTTGGTCCAATCTACCTGCGAAGCAAGAGTGCGAAACTGAATAGCATAATCAGCCACAGACCTAGAATCCTGTTTAATTCTCATTAATGCTCTTGCGGCATTCTTTGACCTTTTCATTGTGTCAAAAGTTCTACGAAAAGCCGTAAGAAAACTGTTGAAATCATGTACCATAGGTCCATTAGCTTCCCAAATAGGATTTGCCCACTCAAGTGCCTTATCGGTAAGTTGGTGCATAAAGAACCCAACCTTAGACCTCTCTGTGGGAAATGAACGTGGATACATTTCGAAGTGAAATTCAATCTGATTAATAAACCCTCTGCAAGTCTTAGAGTCCCCTCCATACCTAGGAGGAGGTGTTAAATGGGCCGAAGTATTAGGCAAAGTAGATACTTCAGGGAGAAGGGGCGTAGGAGGGTTAGGTGTAGTTGCTGGAACGGTTCTAGCTAGGAGCGTCTGGAGAGCCTGAGCTATTTGATCCATACGGTGATCCTGCTCTACAAATCTTGCCTCATGGGACGCCATCTGTTGAGCTAAATCTGCGGGGTCCATGGCCCTATCGTAATGTAACGAGAATATACCCCTACACGCAGGATCCAGCTAAACAGAGGCAAATACAGAGGAGAGATACGTCTACCGGACCTTAGAATGGCCGGACTCGACGTATATGAGAGAAGACAGAGCCAGGAACAAACCGAGGTCAAGGGCACAGAGAGACAGCGTAAACTAGGACAAGCCGGGGTCTGGTACACGGAAAACAGCAAGCCGGCAAACAGTACAGATAAGGATAAAGCGAAAACGAAGTCAGAATACGAAGCCAAAGTCAATACGAGAAAACACAACTGAACACCACAAGCGCTAAAGGGAACTGAAACAGAAACCACGATAGGGCAACGAGCTAAGGGAAAAAGGTAAGTTTAAATAGCTTTAAAACGAAAGTGATTGGCTCCTGTCACTTCCACACCCCCTATAGGTAATTGTACAGGGAGTGTGGTATGACAGGAGCCAATGGGAGCCTTTTGGCAATTAGGCTCCCACTGTCTCTTTAAGAGCGCGCCCGAGACTCGCGGCGCGCTCTTAGTTTCAGGCGGGACACGTGACCGCCTCACGCGGTCACTGCCCGCCTTCCATCCAAAGTAGTTGGATGAGCCGCGCGCGGCTCGTGCAGCCGCAGGACCGCGCGCGGCTTGAAGAGAGGACCGCGACCGGCCCCCGGTTAAGGTAAGTAACGCTACAAACTCCTGATACTGTATATCTAGGGAAAGGTTGCGCAAAAAAGTTACAGATTTTCTTCACTTCTTTCTGGGTATGCCTTTGTAGATTGTTCACATGAATTAAGTCACTTTTATATAAATTTTCAAAAGCATACATATTCCTTTCAATAAATCATCTTTCCCTATTGTTTTATATATACTCCATTGTCAATATCTGCATGTTCTGCCCAGTGAATACAGTGAAGATCAGTGAATACAGTTATTATTTGTAAATGTTTGCTGGTATTCATAGGATTCTTTTGGAGGAAAAAAAGAGAAAATGTTAAAGGGACACTATAGTCACCAGAAAAACTACAGCTTATTGAATTTGTTCTGGTGAGTAGAATCATTCACTTCAGGCTTTTTTGCAATAAACACTGTCTTTTCAGAGAAAATGTAGTGTTTACATTACAGCCTAGTGATAACTTCACTGGCCACTTCTAAGATGGTGGTCTAGTGTGCATCACAACATATCAGTATCTCCACCTTCTGCATGCAGACACATGAGGAGATGCTGACTGGCCAGGTCTGTGTTTAACTTGTGCTGACTCTGCCCCTGATCTGCCTCCTTGTCAGTCTCAGCCTCTCCTATGGGACAGCCCTGTGATTGGCTCAGAACAACACGTTTGATGATGACAGCAGGCAGAAGACAATTTCACAGGCAAACAGGGGCAGATGTAGCAGATACAAACTTGAATACAAGTAAGATTTTACTATATTTAGGGAGGCAAGGGTGGGGTGGGGTGGGGTGGATAGATGGTGGTTTTAACACAATAGAGTCAGAAATATCTAATTGTGTTCCTGACCCTATAGTGCTTCTTTAAAAGAATACGCCAAGCATTTTACCCTTCTGTGTTAGTTTTGATGCCAGGAATTCCCTGGCACCATCCCATCGTAATCTAAAGTTACTAGACCTGAACTTACCTGGGACTTGAACTTACGAAGGTCCTGCCTACACCTTGCACAAGAGGAGGCAGATGCCAATGCAGGCATCTTCTGAACTCTTTCAGGAAACATTTTCTCTGAAAAGGCAGAGTTTACATGAAAATGCTTGCAGGTAATGATTATACTCACCAGAACAAATTCATTGGTCCGAAAGTGTTCTAGTGACTATTGTCACAGTTCTCACCGTGACATCCAGACATGGTCGCCCCAGGAGTGCCCAACAGGGGATTTTAACTCTCGCCTCTGGGCCACACTTCAGTTTTTGTTTCTGCCTATGTTCATCCTGCCTTGCCTGCAGCACTAGGGGGCTTTACTTGTGGCTGATCCTTTTTCTCTATGTCCACCTGAGGAAGATAGCTCATTAGCTAGGTATTTAAACCTGCCTCTCCATGAGAACATTGTCAGTTCTATGATTCTGGTGATCGTGTGTTATTCCTGTTTTGTCTCCTGATACTTGTTCTCCAGATTGACCTTGGCTTTCACCCTTGCTTATCCTGACCTCTGATTTATCCTCGACGAACCTTCTGCTTGTGTCCTTGTCTGTACTGCGAATTGGAGCACCATTAATGCACATCCCCCATGCACAGATTCACAGTCCTGGTGGTTTCTAACCTTATCACCTTGGACTGTGTATATCTGCCAGGGTGAGCACAAATCTCTGCCTACCGGACTCCCACCACAGGTAAGACCCTGACTACTATAGAGTCCCTTTAAATTAAAATAACTGAGATGCAATTTAAGTACAGGCTTTCAGCTTTAATTCAAAAAGTTAAACAAAAATATTGTATGAAACGTTTAGGGATTGCAACCATTTTCATACACATACCCCTTATGTAATTGGCCAAATTAACAGAATTATAAATAAAATGTACATTTATAATACTTTGTCGAGAATCCTTTGCAGGCAATGACTGCTTGAAATCTGTAACACGTGGATATCACCAAATGCTGGGTTTCCTTCTTTGTGATGCTTTGCCAGGCCTTTACTGCAGCTGTCTAGAGTTGATGTTTGTTCATTAGTTTTTCTGCCTTAAATTTTGCCTTCTGCATTTGAAATGCATGCTTGATCAGGTGGTTGACTGATTGCAGAATATTCCACTTTTATGCTTTAAAAAACTCCTGAGTTACTTTCACAGTATGTTTTGGGTCACTGTCCATCTGTGAAGTGAAGCACCGTCTAATCAACTTTCCTGAATTTGGCTGAATCTGAGCAGACAAAATATCCCTCACACTGCCTCCACTTTATTTTACAGATGATGTGGTAAGCTGAGGATAATGAGCCCTTCTCAATACTTTTTTTTCTTCCTATCACTCTGGTACAGTTTGATTTTACTTTTATCTGTCCAAAGAATGCTGTTCTAGAACTGGGCTGGCTTTTTATTTATTTTTGGCTATGTATAATCTGGCCTTTTTATTCATGAGGCTTATGAATGGTTTGCACCTTGGGCTTAACACCTGGTATTTTCTATGGTAGACGTGTATGATGAGCTACCTACCTCCTGAAAAGTGTTCTTGACTTCACCGGATGTTGTAAAGAGTTTTTTTGTTTACCCTGGAAAGGATCTCCCGATCATCCACTGTAGTTGTTGATTTCTTTGGATTTCCAGGCCTTTTTGTGTTGCAGAGCTCACCAGTGCGGGTTTTTTGTTTTGTTTTTTTCAGAATGAACCTTTGCTTTGGCCACTCCTAAAGTTCCTGTTATCTCTCTGATGGATTTTTTTTTTTTTTAAGCCTGTTTTACTTGCATTGAGAGCTCATTTGACCGCATGTTGTAGGTTCACATCAACAGATTCCAAATGTAAACGCTAAACCTGGAATCAACTCCTTTTGTCCTTCTGGGAGGCATAGCCACCTAGCAAAGCTAGTGGGTATGTGGCAGCCTCCCAGAGAATTATTTTGACGCGCTAAACGCTGGTGCTGTGCTCTTGCACAGCAACAGTGTTTTAGCCAATCAGGTGATCAGGACAGCCGTGCAGCCCTGATTACCTCAGATTTTAAAATGGCAACTTTGATGGAGGACTCCATTTCTGTGTCTGCCACAGATGTGATGGATGTCTCTCCTAGAGACAGCCCCATCGACGTTAAAAGGCTCCATAAGAGAGCCTTCTTTGCCAGGGACCTATCCTCTTCATCTTCTGAGAATGATATATAGTCCCAGTTAGTAAAAGAAAAAAGGTTTGCTTTTCCTCTTCAAGTTCTAAAGATGAACTTGATTTTGGTCCCTCTTCCCCTCATTCTCGTTTGAGTAGTCGAAGTTTTAAAGGGACGGTACCTCCAAAAGCAAAACGTGTTTCTCTCGTTTGAGGTTTCAAAGCTGTTTTCACACAAAAGGGACAAGACTCGTTTGAGTGCTGTCAGTCCCTCACAGTCCACTTTAAGAGTGTTTGCTCCTTCATCCTCCCTAAGCCGGTCCTGTTCCAGACAGGGATCACCGGAGATTGATTGGGAGTCCGAGGAGGTGGTTCGCACTGCAGATTCCACTGAACGAGGGAAGATGACCAGAGTGAGCCTTTTAGGTAAAGTGCTCCCTTCAAAATTATTCCATTCAAGATGGGCCATCGAACAAGAGTCAGCTGTCAAGGATTTCGCCAAACTAGCTTTCAGATCATTGCTAGTCATAGAGGATTATCTCCTCCTTAGAAATCATATTGGCATCCCTGACATTCGGGCACTAATGGCCCCTGAAATTGATTCAGCACAGTTATACATTAACGGAAACAGTGTTTTTGCGGATCCCATGGATCAGACATTTCGCAATGTACAATTTAAAATTGCGGATGCTGTTGGTCCCCTTCTGCTTATGTTAGAGAAGGCAGAGAAGGAGGGATCCTCTCATAACCCTTCCTTACCAGCTTTACTGGCTTCTAAGATGGCACTTCTAAAAGCTTCCAGCTGAACTGTGCTTATTATCGGTCAATTCTTCAACTATATTTTCAACATTCGCAGAACCTGCTGGCTGCATGCAGCAGGGATGTCTGATTTGGCACCTAAGTCACATGACTTCTCTAATTTCAAAAACTCCTTTCTATTTGGCCCCTCTTTTATACAAGAGGTGAAAGGACGATACAGGGCTAGGAGATCTTTAAAGAGCTTTCCAAGCTACAAGAAACCCTTTCAGACTGAGGGTTGTTCCTATAGGGCTACAGGTTCGTCCCGAGGAGTTACTCAGCAAGCCCACTTTCGTCACCATGGGGGCAGTCAAGACCCCTCAGGCAGTAACCGAAGACCCATGCAGTCAAGTAAGTTGTTTATCTCACATCCCTCATAATTGGTCAGATATAACCTCGGACAAATGGGTGCTTCAGATTTTCAAAAGGGGTTTACAACTCCCTCTCATTGAGTTTCCTTTCCAGAGTCAAGCTGTGGGCAGAGAGGTAAATCTAGTTCTAGATTCCTCTCTTTCCCAGGCATTAGCTCAAGGAAAAGTAGAATTGGCAGATTTGTCCATTTCAGGTTGGATCAGTCCCTTGTTCCCTATTCCAAAATCAGACGGCACGTGGAGACCAGTACTAAATGTCTAGGCTTTGAATGATTTCATAAAGAGGAAGAGAATCAGGATGGAATGTATAACAGACCTCCCAGGCCTAGTGCAGAAAAAGGTCTTCTGCATAAAATTAGACCTCAAAGATGCTTTCCATTCAGTTTCAATGGCTATGAAACACAGTGTTACGCTACTTGGGTGATTTGGATTGGAACTCAACTGCAGCTTGTAAAACTCCCTAATTACAATTGTGAAGAAACTGAGAATCTTTAAGGTATCAATACTGTAGCTTTAGGAAAAGAGAGAATCACTGGTAACTTGATTCAACCGAAGTTTTAATAAGTGTTAAACTTAAATGAATTGCATTTAGGCAATAATCCAATAAGAGGAAGTGCAAGTAATCAACAACACAAAGTTCATTATTAAGTATTTCTTCAGAGATGCATTAAGTAACGTTCTTTAAGTTCATGAGAATAATCTTCAATAGTAACTTAAGCAAGTAGCTGAGAATATTTGCAAAGCAAGAACAGTTCATAGTTAATAAGCATGATGGTGTTGTCCTTCATATAATTAGTAGCTTGAAGCATTGAGTGTATTTGCAAAGCAAGAAACAGTTCATAGTGAATAAGCATGATGGGAGTTGTGAAAGGAAAACAGAGAGAAACTGTCCCTAATTAGTAAAATATCAAAATAATAAATACTTTATTTATAAATATATATATTAACAAGACATTCCCCTAATAGCTACCAATAAGTGCTGATCTAAGTGGTGATAGCACTGTAAAACAAAAAGTCGGTGATATAATAAATGCACTAACACATAAACATAGCTAGCGTCTGCACAATTATGTCCGCTTGCTCAAGATAGTATTAGTGATAAGCAGACATCCACATTAAGATAAATATAATGTTTCACATACATTCGTAGCGTTCACACAATTGTAACGATTTGCTGGATCAAATAGAGCAAGCTTCCTTATTAGAATTGATAAATTGTAACATAAAAATAGCATTTGCACATTAGTATTCACTTGTAGTTAATATATAAATATATTGATAAAGTAGCAACAGAACAGGGGAAATGGGAAAGGTGCCTTCATGGGTACCCGTTATAGTAAAGAAAAGGTACATAAAAGTTGAAAATGAAATACAAAAAGTAAAGCTGAAATAAATAGCAAGTAACTATAGACTAGTGAAATCGTTATTTGGCAAAGTGCCCTGATCGGTATGCTAATGACTCAAAATATAGAATATAGATACAGTGGAAAGTCCGAAAAAAATAATAAATAACGGACTGTGATATAAAAATAAATGTAAATCTTATTGTGCAAGACTAAATACAGATGGCTACAAAGTTGTCGACATACAGATGTTGGTAGTAGACTTTGAAAAAATAAACCAAATAGTCTTAACAGCGTTACCTGTTAGAAGTTATTTAGGGGAATAGTGTGTCAACTACTCACCATAGTCTAAGAGCCATATACCATCTAACATGCAAACAGGTAGCATAATGTGAATATATCAAAATAATCTCACCCCTGGTCGGTATGCTTATTGCACCAAATTAAATGCACATGGCTATATAGCCGCCGGAGTGCCAATATTGGTGATGAGTTAGGGAAAAGTATGATATATCAAAATCTCACCACAGACTATGAACTTGTACATTCAATAGTGCAGACAAGTAATATAATATAAAATAATCTAGACAATATCCAAACCGTGTCGATCTAATATATAACACGATGTATAACCCGACGTGCGTTTCGCCTAATGCTAAGGCTCATCAGGGGAAAATAACTCCCTGCGAAAAGCTAGACATTTAAATAACCCGCCCTGCCACCTAATTGGTCCGATCTAGGTAGAGGGGTGTATGCATCAGTACGGTAGCACCATGGGGTCAAACCATTTGATATGTCTCCACGGAGAAAAAGATTATCAAAAATGAATATAGCAAAAATTAAAGTAGAATGTCTTGAATCATAGAAATAATAAATAAATAAATAAATAAATGAATAGAAGAAGAAAGAAATATGGAATACATAGCAGTGAAATCACAGAATGTCACAAAGATGATTTAGCTCATGTTCATGTCTTCAGTGTATAAATGATTATCGAGTGGGCAAACAATAATATCGATAATAAAATATGACAGGTGATATCTAGGAGCAGTACATATAAATCCAATATCGATAGGTAAAACATGATAAAAGCATTATTGAAAGCATTATAATAATAGTGCCTTACAATGTTTGAAATTAATGTTGTTATAGTAGGTATACATATTATTGACATAGTGATATATACTATAATACATAAAACAGTCTCTAACAAAGACCAGTTAGTAAGCAAATACTAGCCAATGATACTAAGGAATATGAGAAATACATAAATAAATAAAGTCCTACAGATTCCTAATATGTATCAATAGTGATGTAACTTAGTACAGATATCACCAATTAGTCATGAATAAATGAGGTATAATTAAATTCCTCATTTAACCCTCGAGGGGCCAGAGTCTTAAAGGCAAAGATCCATTTACATTCTTTTTGCAACAGAATTCTATTAAAATTGCCTTTTCTAGGATTGGGCAGCAATTTTTCGATAGCCTGAAATCGTAAGTTCTCTGGCTTCCCATCATGAAAATTTAAGAGGTGTCTTGCTACTGGAGTGGGGGTGACAGTATTGTTGATGGAATTGACATGTTGTAAGATCCTACGCCTAAATTGTTGGAATGTTTTTCCGATGTATTGAACTCCACAACTACATGTAATCAGATAGATAAGTCTTGTGGTGGAACAGTTTACAAGGGAATTGGTATCAATACGAATGTGTGATTGAGTCAATACTGTTGACCTGGAAGGGAGAATAAATTGACATCTGTATGTCGGCAACTTTGTAGCCATCTGTATTTAGTCTTGCACAATTAGGTTTTACATTTATTTTTATATCACAGTCCGTTATTTATTATTTTTTTCGGACTTTCCACTGTATCTATATTCTATATTTTGAGTCATTAGCATACCGATCAGGGCACTTTGCCAAATAACGATTTCACTAGTCTATAGTTACTTGCTATTTATTTCAGCTTTACTTTTTGTATTTCATTTTCAACTTTTATGTACCTTTTCTTTACTATAACGGGTACCCATGAAGGCACCTTTCCCATTTCCCCTGTTCTGTTGCTACTTTATCAATATATTTATATATTAACTACAAGTGAATACTAATGTGCAAATGCTATTTTTATGTTACAATTTATCAATTCTAATAAGGAAGCTTGCTCTATTTGATCCAGCAAATCGTTACAATTGTGTGAACGCTACGAATGTATGTGAAACATTATATTTATCTTAATGTGGATGTCTGCTTATCACTAATACTATCTTAGCGGGAAATAATTGTGCAGACGCTAGCTATGTTTATGTGATAGTGCGTTTATTATATCGCCGACTTTTTGTTTTACAGTGCTATCACCACTTAGATCAGCACTTGAAGATTTCAGTATTAATTGTGCTGTATAGGTAGATTCTGGCTATTGTTGCCAGCTATTTGTTACCAGCAAAATGTTTTTAATTATTGTTTCTCTCCCAATCACCCTTTCCCTTCCCCTATATATACACTATTAGCAGTAGTGTGTTTGTTAATTTGTCTGCTCACTTTAGACAGTTGCATTATACATATAATCACACTACAGTGTTATTGGTAGCTATTAGGGGAATGTCTTGTTAATATATATATTTATAAATAAAGTATTTATTATTTTGATATTTTACTAATTAGGGAGAGTTTCTCTCTGTTTTCCTTTCATTACTTTTTAGGGTTACCCCTTTCTGTCCCTGACACTGATGAGAATCTCATAGGCCACTCTTTCTTTCTTTTATGATGGGAGTTGTCCTCCATATAATTAGTAGCTTGAAGCAATGAGTGTATTTGCAAAGCAAGAAACAGATCATAGTGAATAGGCATGATGGGAATTGTCCTCCATATAATTAGTAGCTTGTAGCAATGAAGATTTGAGTAAGCAAGCACTAGTTCATTATTAAATGATAATGTAGACAAATAGCTGAAAGATATACTTAAGATTAATGTGAGTAGTCCTCCAATAGGTCTGAGATATGGTCCACTTGTAAAGTAAGTGAGTTTCTGTTCTCCAGTAATCCTCTATGGCATGAAGTATACTTTTCTTAGTCCAGAGCGCTAGGACGACTTCAGAGTTTGTAGAGCCCGCGTGTCCCAGGAGCCGGCGTTCATATTCGAAAGTAGGACCCACAATGCCAGAGCCTGTGGAGAGGTAAGTCTGGTAGAAGTAGCTCCCAGAATCACCAAGCACCCTCTCTCTGGCACGGTCTCCCTAAAAACCGTCAGAGCTGTGTCAGAGGGGGGCGGGGTCCGGCTCCACACAGCGGAGTGCCGAACCCAGAAGTGTTACCGCATGACACACAGGCACTTTCTCAGATTCCGCTAGAAGGAACAGATATATCACTGGACTGTAATGGTGTTTGGCCTAACCAATACACCTTACACATTTTCCAGGACTATGAAAGCTATTATATCCCACATCAGGCAACAAGGATTTATATGCTTTTATTACTTAGACAACATCCTGTTGTTGAATCCAGAGGTAGATGCTCTCGTTCAGCAGAGAGATTACCTAATTTCCTTATTACAGGATCTGAGGTTTATTGTAAATCTGCAAAAATCCATCCTAGTCCCTACTCAGAATATCCTATTTTTGGGTTTCATGCTGAACACTATGGATATGACCTTGAGTGTTCCCCCGAGAAAAATGGGAAAAAATCCTAGCTCAGTTAACTTCAGCTCTTTTAAAATATAGATGGTCCCTAAGAGAAATAGCAAAGACTATTGGGAGGCCTATAGCTTTAACACCGGGTTACGATGCTTCCCCCTTGCTGTGCAGACAAAGTCAGCTGTTTCCAAGAAACCAACTGAGACGAGGTGGCCAGTGGGAGTCAAGCGTGGTCCTTCCCACGAGTGTTAGAAATGAGCTAAACAAGATATTGGAAGGGACAAGTCCACTTCCTTGCCCCCTTCTGAAAGGACCTTTCGAGTTATCCTTGACCACAGATGCTTCTTCTAAGGGATGGGGTGCTTTCTTTGTCAAAGGCATGTCCAAGTCATGATAAGAGGAGTTTGGTCAGTTCAAGAAAGGCTTCTCCACATAAACTTACTAGAGTTGAGAGCAATCAGATTAGCCCTCCAAGGCCTTGTTTCGTTGAACCCCTATGTCAACCACAGAGGGGTCAAAAAGGTCTTTGCCTAGAGGCTTTGGACCCGTGGTTCTGGGCTCTGGTTCACAAAGTTGGAACGTACCAGGAAAGGCAAACAAACTGGCGGATTCCCTGTTCCACCAGTGTTTGTCCCTGGCTACATTTTAGTTAAAGAGTGTTATTTCAGCTGATAGAGAGCAGATTGGGCAAGAGACAGATCCTTTTTGCATTTCAGACTTCCAAATTTGTAACCAGGACTTAGGCAAAAGGAGCTTGGAAGATGGATAAGATGTCCTTCCAATGAACAGACATTCTGGGCTTTTACACTTTTCCCCTTCATCTATTCTGATGAAGGTGTTAGAGAAACTTTGCAGGGACAGGGTGCCCAATTTGGTTTTAGTGTACCCCATTTGGACCTTCAGACTATGGTACCCCCTGATCCAACCTCTAATCAGGGGACCAAAGGTATCATTAGGCTGGACCACGGATTGCTTCCTAGGGACCAGGGATCTCTTAACCAAACTCCCCCAACTTGTGTGGATAGCAGCCCTGGTAGGCTTTTAATGCGTCCTCTTCTGTCTGACCGGGTTTTAGACATCATTAATTCTTCATTACGGCGTAGGACCGGGGTAACATACAAACAAATGATTGAGGAATTTAAAGCATGGGAAGTTTCCTTTAATTCCCTTTCCCATGAATCTGACACAATTCCCTTAAATTCCGCTCAAATATCATTCAGGGTTAGCAGTCATTAGGATTAAGACGTATGGTTCTGCATTCAATTTTCTAATCCCTAATTTGACCCAAGACGCCCTTTACCTCAGGTTACTCAAAGGGCTATCAGTCTGCCGGCCCTTTACTCTTAGATACAGTTCCACTTGGGATGTGGCCTTTTATTAAACCACCTTACTTCTTTGGACAATGACCAGATTGACCTAAGATGGACGGCAATTAAATTGCTTTAGCTCTGGCAGCTAGAGGCTCAGACTTAACAGAGTTAAATATTGTCAAACTATGGTTGTCTCGAACTCCAGGGGGATTTCCTTTTCCTCCTTAAAGGGAGACAGAAGACTTCCCATATTTTCCCAGGTCCTGTAGAACTAGATTTGGTGCAAGATTCTGCTGAGTAGAGTTAATGTTTAGTTAATTTGTTAAATTCATACTTGAATCTTTCTGCCCCAGTCAGACAAGACTTTATGCAATTACTTATCACTTAGTTCCAGCAAACCTTTTTGGCCAGCTAAGGTTAACACAATCAGGTGTTGGATACTGTCCGCTATGTCTGCAGCGGGTATTGATGTCACAGTTTCAGAGGGGCTTCAGCTTCAAAAGCAGCAGCGAGAGGCCTTCCTCTTCCTATTATCCTTAAAGCTGCAAGATGGTCTTCCAGTAAGACTTTTGTTAAGTTTTATTGGAGGCCATCTGAAGTTGAACGTTCCTTAGGACCACCACCAGGTGTGTGCTATTCAGCCCACTAGCTTTGCTAAGTGGTTATGCCTCCTGGAGGGACAAAATAGTTTGCAGGAATCGATGACCTGCAAACTTTCTTTGTCCTAGGGATAAGCATAACCCCCTAGCAAAGCGCCCATCCCTCCTTCCCCAGATTTATTTGTACTGCCTGGTGGTGGCAGGGTATTTGGGAATCTAATTAAAGTGATTTTGTGTGTGTGTGTGTGTGTGTGTGTTTGTATTCTTTTTTGCTTATATATTTATATTTATTCTGTTTATCTTTACAGATTACAACTGGCTACCCAGACAGGATCAAGTCAAGGACCCTCCTAAATAGTTCTGGAGGTTAAGAAACTTCTTCCAGAAGTTCTTTGATTGTGAGTTATACTATATTAATATTTCTCACAGAGACTGCTTGTTTGTTTTTCACCTTGATGATCAAATATTGTTTTGGTACATTTTCATATGTTACTATTAACTGTCAGTACTTGAGAAATGTTCATTTTATTGTTACTTTATTATATTGCCTTTCCACTCTGTTTACATAACCCTTTCATAGGAGTAAGTTCATGTTTGGTTGAGTAAATAAAACATTGATATCCCCCTTACATTGACAGGGGTGCTCTTTTCGTTTATTATATTTACTACCGTGTACATTGATCTCTATCCTACATTAGGGGGTTCTTTGTCTCTGGATGGATTAACCATCTGCACGGCTGTCCTGATCACCTGATTGGCTAAAACACTGTTGCTTTGCTAGATGGTCATACTTATCCCTAGGACAAAGAAAGTTTGCAGATCATTGCTTAATTGATGAAGAAATGACAAAGGAATAGTACACACCCATCCATTACTTTTGGTCCCTTGAAAAATATATATATATTAAAAAGCAAGATATTGTGTGTGTGTGTGTGTGTGTGTGTGTATATTTATATATATATATATATATATATATATATATATATATATATATATATCTGTAATATTTCCAATTTGGATGTGAATACCTTAAAATTAAAGCTGAGAGACTGCATTTTAAATCCATATTAATTATTGAATTGTAACTTGAATTTATTTTGGTAAATAGGCAATATAAAACTTGTCTCTTTAAATATTATTGGATACATTCATATATTTTTAATATATGGCCTATTAATTACAACAGTAATTTAAAGAAATCTTGAGGGCTTGTCATTGCAATCTAATTCTAACTGCAACCCAAGTTCTCTCATACAAAAATATGTGAGTACGTGGAAAAAGTAGTTGGTGGCAAGTAAACTTAGAGGTTGAAGGTGCCTGCAGGGTCCTGTTAAAGTCTTCACTTGCTATTCAAATATTTCAGTTTTTTTGCTGACAAGAAATGTAAATTTATATTGTGCATGTGTTCTTATATTTATATAATGTATTTTATATAATGCATTATGTCTCTATTACAAGACCGTAAAACTGACAGTAAGGTTTACCTAATCAAACAAGTGTTAACATCGAAGAGTGCAGACACACACAGTGGACTCGTTCTATACTGTAACATATTCTCTTTGCTACCAATGATGAACACTAGGGGGAGCTGAGGTTTTGCAGTGTTGAATAAATGCACGCACACATTTTGCATTCACAGTCAGGTTTTCACACTTTTGCATTGATGTGGATAAATTGAAAATATGCTAAGCAATTCTCGTCTAAAAAAGATTAAATACATTTCATATTCTAAATGTGTAGGTGTTTGTGGGTGTCAGGAATGAAAATGATACTGTAGAGAGAGATGAGTTTGAATTAATTATGTCAATGTAAGAAGCACTTACACTCCAAACAAAGTCCTAGTTTGCAAAGCAGTATGAATACACATTTTGGATTTATATTTCTGGCAAAGGAAATCTGATTTGGATATGTACTGCACAAAGCCATTAAATGTGCTTCCATACTGTCAGCCAAAAATATGGGGACACCTTACCATCACACCTATATGAGCCTACTGGACATATTGTTCCAAATCCATGGTTATTAATATAGAGTGGGCTCTCAAACTCTGCTGGGATCAGGCACTGATGTTGGGCATGTTACCATTACAAATAGTACCAAATTTGGTAATGCAATCATATGGAACAACTTCCTGCCTAAGCCTCAATAATATATGCCATCGTATGAACTGTAACTTAAATCAGTGCTATATACTTTCACAATACTAAATTTGTTACACATGGAAAGCAAAAAAGAAGGAAGGTTTTAAAAAAGAAATACATATATAATATAATAAAAACTATAATATAAAAAATGCAGACAAAAGGATCAGCGCTGTTCAACCAAACCTACATAATAAGAACAGTAGTAAAAAAGAATAGGAGGGAAGGTTGCGCTAAAACAATATTATAAAAATATCCAGTGTAGCAATAAACTTGCCAGAAGAAATGATTGTAAGGTTCTTCAGAGAGTATTCTTCCGCCAAGAATTGTGTGTGTATATATATATATATATATTTAAAAACAAAGACTAATAGTGTAATATATCCCAGAAATTGGTGTATTTGGTACTTTGACCAGCTCTAGTATAGATAGCATAAAGTGGTACAATCCCCACTTATAGGATTCGTGAGAAGTTAATAGTTGTTTCAATTATGTGAAGACCATAAGATGATAATAGGAACAACAATAGTGCTCACTGTATTAAATTGAAAAAATTGAAATTGGTACTTACATTTGATTGAGCAGGTGAACTGCTCAATGGATAGCGCTTGAGTGGTATAATCCCCACCTAGGATTCTTTAGAGTATTCCTCACTGGAACAAAATAAGAACGGATGCCAGGCAGTTGAGAAGTAAAAGTATAAAATAATAAAAGAGTTACATGTCACACTCACGGTATAAAAGTACCAAAATACCTTTATTAACAATATTAAAATATCCACGACGCGTTTCACCTTTAAGGCTTTATGAAGTGGCGATAAAAAAGACTGACTTGACAAGCAAGAGTTTATATATAGACACAATTGATTCAAATTTAGCACCCAAATGACGTCACATCAACATTTCTAACATTTCTAAAATATAAATTTGAACTTATTGAAATATTCTGTATAATGTTGGAGACTATTTCTAAAAAGAACAGTTTAAAATGAGGTTTTAGATGCTCAGAATTTGTAAATAAAGTGGATCATGTGGTCCGCAACCATCTTTGCTATCGGGCCGCACCACGTGGTTAGCGCTAGGTGGTCTGCGTAAAGTAGTTACGAGCCACGACCGGCTCAAAATAAGTGCCACTTTTTTGAATTGAGGACAGACAGGGAATGGGAGGGGATAGAGTAGTATAATCTACCTCGACACAGACCTAGACGAGGTCTTAGTGATGAGGTATAAAGGAAAGAGATCCGGCCGAGATACCCATGTTTTTGGTGTATCTTGTGAGGAGAATGGTGGCGGCTGTATTTTAGGAGGTTTATTTGCTATAAGTTAATAAAAACAAAAGGTATTTACCCAATAAAAGGGGAAAATGGGGATATTTATTATTTTAGATATATGAAAAAAGTAAAATGACTTAGGAGA